TTGTTCATTAAGTTAAATGAACCTTAGTTGGTAGGTTTATGTAGTCACAGTCTTGAAAGATTTTTCTCCAGTGTGTTTTTTCAAAGATGGCATTGTGAGAATAAAGGCTCAGTGCATCCATAAGTAGTCATGTGAAAGCACAGAGCACCAGCAGTGATTGCCATGTCAGACATTTGTTAGGGCACCACTTGAAAACGGATGGCTGATTTTTTTATTTTTTTTTTAACTCTGCCTTTATCAAGGACAAAGAACCTGATTTAACACTAAGAGTTATTTAAGAACATGAAAAAGAGCTGCCTGCTGCAGTCAGCAATCCACAGGCTCAGTTTAAAATCTTCCAAAGTCAACTTAGCCACTCACCTGGATTATGACAGACTCTGGATCAGGCCCTGATGATGACTAAGAAACACTCCAGAAAGCAGTGACACCTAATGGCAAACACGCCTTTGGATGATGGCAAACCCTAATCTATAGCGTGCAAAGTCATCCCTCTTCAATTAACACACATCACAGAGCCTGAAGCGCTGCCACAAATCCAAGCACCTGGGAAAGTGTTTCAGAAATAAGGCACACATAAGCAGGGAGGTTGTCACGCAGGCTGAGCATTTAAGTGGAACAGAGTTACTAATAGAGCTCCTGGCTGCTCAGCCCCAGCACTCCGGGTTCCAGGTCCTCACTCAGAGGTGTGTTTAAAATAAGCAAGTAACCTCCTCACATCCTAGAGCAGGGACAACAGGGACCTGAGTGCTCCCCTGCAGACACTACAGGCACACAGAGATTTATTTGGTTTTAATAAATCTGTTTTGCTTGCTTCTCTTGTGCTTTACAAATGTATGTGAGAGTACTGTAATGAACAGTTAGTGGCGTGCACTGCATACCTCCTAATGAGGCTTCACCAATAGCACAGCAAATTAAATTCCTATTACCAATTCACAACACAACCCCAGCTGCACTGTAGCACATCAGCTTACAAGAAGAAATGAGACAGGCATCCCACCAAACAACAAGAATTCCTTTCCTTTTTACAGAAAAAAAATACATTTTAGTCACCACCAACATCCAGAGAAGAAACAAGCAATAGACCCCATGCTGGAATTGCCTTGATATCATTAACATGGTACAGAGCAGCTTAAAGGTGTGAGCCAAAACTCAGGACCCAGCAATGCTGGGAATTTGTCCAATAAAAGGAATGCAGCAGTCCTGGCCTACAAAGCTGAAAGGAGTAAGGTAAGGGCAGAACTGATTTTCTCTCTCAGGAAAATAAAACTTTTATCTATAAATATATTAAAACCAGATGTATAAGTATATGTAGAAGCATATATAATACATAGCTATATCTATTTATGAAATTTCCATTAAAAATAAAAAACGCCAAGGGCAATACACAGTTGACTGTGTATGACTAAAGTTACTGATAAACATAAAAACCAGCTTGAGGTAATCAGGGAGGCTGAACTAGATCAGCCTTCAAAAATCCTGTAGAGTATTTTTTCAGCAAAACTTTTGTACCACACTATGTGCCTGCTGCCCTGGGTGATTTTGCAGCACCCAATACACATATATCTGCCTATGTGTTTCTAGAGACACAATAGGAAATCCATAAGCATGAAAAGATGCATTACTGTGAATTTATCAAGGGAAAATAAGGAGCACAAAGTACAAAATATAAAAGCACGAGACTATCAGCAGTAGAAGATACAAAGCATTAGCAAACTGTGTGGTTGACAAGGAATGCCACCTAATCCCTGCTTAATTAAAACACTGTTCCAAACTCCTGTTTAGGGAGTGGGGAGTGTGGGACAACTGATGTATGAAGGAAATATCAGGCAGCGTGGCTAATCTCAAAGACTTGGGAGCTTTCGAGCTACATAAATCAGAGCGACTTTTTGAATAGCCTCATAAAACACAGAATCATTATCATTCCACTCACGACTTTCAGATTCTTCCTACAGCATACAGATCATTAGGAAACTTCTAAGCAATCAAGTAATGTGGGACTGATGAAATTACTCAATCAATGCATGGGCTGAGAGAAGCAGCATAATACAGGATTGCACAGTTTTGACATGGTAACCCTGCCCCTTTCTTTTTTATATAAGGGTAAGGAAAATTATAGTGGAGTCGATTCATTTCACCATTTTCACAAGAGTGCTTAATGTAGTCTTTCTGAACTGCCAGTTCCTATTTATAATAGCAGGGCAGCAGAAACATACAGGCTATAAGCAGCTCCACCAATGTTTAAAATATGATACAGGAAAACCTTTCTTTTTAAATGTGCACATGTACATATGCACAGACCTTCTCTAGATCAAAACCACAATCTGTACACAGAAGACAGGAATATGAAAAGGCATTATCACAGATACCAGTAACTGTATCCCTCCCACTGACATCACCAAGTCATTAATGTCTACTCACTAAATGGTAACATTTTTTTGGCATTGTCTAAGAGAGGACTGATAAAACACTTTGAGACAGAAAGCATCCTTTTACAGGAAACACATAAAATGAAACATAGGCAAGCAAGAGAGTTTGTGCATTATATTGAGAAAAAGTATGCCCTATTAGGAAAAGGGTATGCACAGGTTATTATTCTGTTATTTCTTATGACCATCTGCCCCTCTCAAACATGGGAAAATATTTTCCACTTGAATATCTTAGCACTGCAGAACGAAAAAAAGATAATGCATTTATTCTGTCTGTTGCCTAAGGCATCAGAACTACCACTAGTAGTATTTCTTTTCCCTTGAACTGAGCATTTTGGTTTTTTCTTTGGCTTTGTAAGTTCTTCTGTAGTTAATTTCTTCATAGAGTACCCTGCTACTGCCTTTTCTCACTCATTTAAATAAATACAGTTGATTACTTATGCCTACATATTTTATACATAAATTTATTTCATACAAGTGGAAGAAAGCAAAAAGGGATCGGAAGATCAGGTCACAAAATACAGTGGTGTTACTTGGGGCCAAATTTTCATCTGTGAGCTGTACAACTTGGAATATTTAGCTGTGTGCTCATTTACTGTTAGTTCTGATTTCAGGTAATTTATTTTCAGAGTATTCATTTTAGTAGATGTAAAGCTCTGTGTACCAGTTATATAGTTTGCCATTTTCATGGCAGCATAAAGCAGTCTATAAAAAGAGCTAATCCCCATGTCAACTGTACCAATTGTCTCTCAAGACAAATTGTGTGAGAAGCAACTGCTTCGGTTCTGCTACTTTGGGTTGTTGGGGTTTGTTTGCTTTCAGTGAGGATTCTCTGTGTTGATGTACCTAATCACTAACAGCATTATTAAAACAAATAATTAAAATGCGTTGCATTTATCAAATAAAACTAATACATCAAATAAATTTTCGTTAACACGAGGGGAGAAAAGCTGTCGTCTCCCCTGACGGCAGTGCAAAGGCACACGGCTCGCCCAGCAGCGCTGCCTTAGCCGGGAGGATGGGCGACAGTGGATTGTAAAGAAACTCCCGATATGCTGCACAGTCAAAATTTCCCCCCAAATCCTAGGATGTAACCGCTTGTTACAAGCTCTTGGGAAAGAAACCCTAAGACGTAACTGTCTCCTAGTGTCGCTTTAAGAGTCTGCAACTGGGAAGAATTTAAAAAGTCCTTCTCCCTTTAAAAGGAGGGCATAGAGCGCTGCCTCCCCGTGCGGTATTTGCTGCTCCAGTCTCACACAGCCAAAAGGACGGACCCCTGTAAAGTTGCGGTACCTAAGGGCAGCGCTGGCTCCTGGGCTGGGGGACAGCCACACGGAGGGCTGGCGCACCGATGCCCCAAAATCGGTCCTGCGGGAAAGCTCCTGACGGCCGCGCTTCCCAAACGCTCTCCCCGCTTCCCCTTGCACAGAAACCCGCTACGGATCCCCACGACAAGCACCGGCAGACATATTTATAAATCCAACCGCGGGAAGAGCGGCAGCTGCCCCACAGCCGGGGCTGGCACCGCCCCAGGACCATGCCCGAAGCCCCGGCGGGACCCTGCCCCGAAATGCCCCTTCCCCGGGGCAGGCGGCGCCCGCCCGCCCGTCCTGCCGCCCCCGCTCCGCCTGCGTGCGGTGCCTGCAGATGGGCGAGCGGCCCGGGGGAAGCGCCCTCCTCTCCCAGCTCCGCTCCGCTCCCTCCCCGAGCATCCCCGGCCGGCCAGGGGGGCCGCCCGCTCTCGCCGGCCGCGGGAACCGAGCGCCGCTCGGCAGCGCTTCCCAGGGATGCGCCCGCCGAGAGGGAGGGAGGGCAGCCGTGCCGGAGATGGCTCGGGATAACGGGGAGCGAGGGGCACGGGCGGCGGGCAGTGCGGGCAGCGCCGTGCTCCGGCATCAACCCGAGCTGCCCCCGGGGCGGAGGGGAGGCCGCTGTCCTTGCCGGGAGCGGCGGCTCCGGGAGGCGCAGACGGTGCCGGCCGGGCAGGGGGTGCCGGGCGGCCCGAGCCCCCCGCCCGCGGCACGGGAAGCGCTCACGTTGCCAAACCACCTGTTCCGCCGCGGGTGAGGAGGGCGGGGAGGGAGGGAGGAAAAGTGCGGGGGGTGGGGGCTTCGCGCGGCTGTCGCCCTGGTGTGAGGAACACCGGGAGGCGCGGGCTGTCCCCCAGCCGAGGGCGAGCCGGGGCAGGCGGAAGGCAGGCTGGAGCTGAGGGGCGGCGGGGAGGAACCGGGGAAGTGCCCGAGCCCTGGGCGCCCCCATCATCCGCCTCATCAAAACCTCAAGGTCTAAAGCACGCACAGTCCCCGCCGCCAAGAAACCTTTACACAGCGCGGTAGGGGAAAAAGAGGACGCCTGAGGTCCTGGTGGAAAGCAATTATAAGAGAGGACTAAACAAAAAAAAAACAAAAAACAAAAAACAAAAAAAAAAAAAAGCAAGCGATCAAGCGATAAAAGACAGTAGGGCTACGGGGGGGGGGGGGGGGGGGGGGGGAAGAGAGCTTCCAAGAGAGGAAAGGTTGCAAAGGAGAGCTGGAAAAGTGTCCAGCAGCACCAGCAGGCGCAGCACCCCCTTACCGATATGAATGATTGAATCTGCAATCGCCGCTTTCCAGGTTCGAGTCCAACACACGGACACGACCAGGATGAGAGAGAAAACTTCCATCTCCTCCGGAGGTCCAGGCTTTATAACAACAGATCTCTTCGCCAAACGGTGCTGCCGGGGAGGACAGCGCGGCGCAGGAAGCCCAAGAGTTTGAGGCGCAGCCGGAGGAGCGTGTAAATCCCGATGGCTGGCGCAGAGCCGCGGCTGGTCAGGGAGCGAGCCCGGGGCTCCGAGCACTTCTCTCCTCGGCGAAAGCCCGCGTCACTTCGCGGGGCTCCTGGGCAGCACCAGAATTGCTGGGAGCGCCGGCAGCAAATCCATCCAGCCCGGGCGCCGCCGCGGGCAGCAGACGCCTCTGCTGGTCAGACAATCCCCATCCTTCCGCCGGGTCCAGGGATCCGCTCGGTCCCGCTGCTGCACAGCAACTTCCAACCCACACCACGCACACGCTCGCACACAGACACAGACACGCAGACACACACACACGGGCAGACACGCACACGCCAGCAGACACCCACAAACCCTCTTGGCCACAGAAGCCCCAGGAGCCCGCAGCAAATAGCTCGCCTTCAGCGAGGTGGGAGGAGCGGGCGACCGAGGGAGCAGGCGATCCCGCTCCCGGCAGCCAGATTCCTGCAGGAAAAGCCCCCCCGGAGGCCAAAAAACAAAGTGAACTTCAAGGTAATGCAGATAGTAATGCAGAGATTTCCCCCCACCCTTCGCTCAGAAAAATCGCTTCCCACAACTGGAGGAAAAAAAAATATAAATCTGCCAATGGAGCCCAGCGTGCTGTCTCTGTCGCGCAAGGTGGTGGTTGGACAGGGCAGAAGCGAGAGGAGGAGGAGTACCCGGAGCGAGGCAGAGGAAGGCAGATGATGGTCTGCAGGTTGCTTTTGGATCTTGCTTTGCTGGTGGGATGCAGAGAGAGCTGGCAGCTCCAGCACCAGCCAGCACGTTGCCTAGAAATGGATCACCTAGGAGAAGGAGAGAGAGCGAGAGATAAGTGCTATCAGCCAGAGAGGGAGAAACAGAGAGAGCGAGCGACTGAGAGCGCTTCTCTCTAATAACCACCTCCTCCCCCTATCTGCAATACAAGGGAGAAACAATGTAGAACCCTCGTCTCCCTTGAAATCTTCAGCTGGGACTAAGGAACAGACATGGGCAAGAGTGCATACTGCTTAAAAATACATCGGGGGAGGGGGGAGAAAAAAATCTTTGTTTTTTAAGTGTTATGCTCAGTTTAAAATAATTTTTAAAAAAACCCACCCCATTTATTTAACCTTGTAACTCCACTGTGGGGATGAAGTTCAAAGCTAGAGGGGCACTTCTGCTTCTCAGTCTTTGACAACTGAGTCAGGGACATTACTTGAAGGGGAAAAGGAAAAAAAAAAAAATCAGGGACACCTGGCCTCTAGGGGAATATGAAGACCTAAAAATCTATTAATATTACTTTAATTATCTGTGTTCTTGATGGAATTTTGCACAGCTCTTTAAAGCAGTGAATTAGCTTTTTTCTTCCTCTCTCTTTAGGTAATGGAGAAATTTCTATGGGAAACATTTAGAGCACACTTTTCATGCTCAGAGTTCTATGAATTCATTAACCGATTAATCCTCAGACTTCTCGTGCTGTAGTTAAATACATTATCCCCATTACACAGACAGAGAATTGTACAGAGAGGTTAAGTATGTTCCTATAAAACAGTCTAAATCCCCACTTTATGTCTTAATACACTTTTTTTTTCTGACTTTGATTTTTCTAGTCCCACCAGAGACAAGGAGGAGAAATCAAAGAATTGCTCATAACATAGCAGTTTATATCCTAAACTCACACAAACCATTGATAAGTCCTGGTAGTCAAGAGATCAAAAGGTTGATCAACCCTTTTTCTTCAAAAGGAATCTCTTTTGAAGGCATCTTCTTAGTTATAACACTTCTTAATTCATCATACCCAACTTGTAAATTTCTCCTCTTTCTCCTGACTTGTCTATGTCTTCTTTCAGCTGTGGGACTGGTTGTCAAAAACAGTTGTATGCCTATGAAATGTAAGGATTTAGTTCAAGAGGGAGAAATAAGCATTTCGAGAAAAGCTAAACTAAACCAATGGCAAGATAATTGACTGTACCAAAAGAAAAACGAAAACAAACCAAAGCAAAGTAGCCAAAGTAGCCAACACCACCAAGAAAAAGCACCAGCAGCAGTTTTGACTTTGCTTAGGTCCACCTTGGCAGGAGAGAGCTTCTCTACAAATGGTAGCACCCAAAATGCTTTAAGCCCAATCCAAAGCACAAATAAGGGCTCATCTTTTCACAGGTTAGAATAGACTCTCTCTCTGTTAAGACCTGAAACAAATCACAACTAGAATTGCTGTAGAGACCAAAGGAAAGGTATGTAAAGAGAACGATAGATGAGCAGTGTGACCTAAAGCCTCACAAATTATGCCACTCACATGCTGCATTTGTCCCTATCATCTGTACAAGTCACAGATGTATTATCAATAAGGGCAAGCAGTAAAAAAAGAGTGGTTTTTTCCTACGAATGACAATTTATGCATAATATCAGTGAATGTAATGGGCATTAATTTTACAAGTAATAAACTCCAATTAATCTGAGAAACTTCTGGAGCTGCTTGAGTCATTATTACTTCTTCACAAAAGAAGAGAGTTCACAAGAAATGTTAATTCACTTCTTTGGGGGGCATGTCAGAGCAGTATTCTTTAATAATGTACAATGCACAGTAGGCAGAATAGGAAATGTAATGGAAGCCTTTGGAAAATTATAACTTTTTAATCCTCAGTTTAGATATTACTAAGAATTTGAGGCCTTATCTAGGAACCAGATATCCTTACTGACTCTTTAAAGCATATAGTACCCTGAACTGGCCACACTAAATGGAATTTTTTGCAAAATTCTGTAGAGACATACAAAAGAATACAAGAGGCAGCCAAGAGTTTGCAGCTCACAAATACCCTCTAACTGATTAAAAAAATAATTTTCAGTAGAGCTCAAAATAACAATTCCAGTGGTAAAGAACACAATGTAAAAATTTGAAAGAGACTTAAGTAAATTTAAAAAAAATAATTGAAATAAAACTACTTTAAATAAAGAACACACTGTTAATTTAATATACATCCATCACAGAGATAAAGTAATTTTCACTTCCATTCTCTTTAATACTCATGAAAAACAAAAACTCATGTCACTCATTCAAACAGAGTGAAAAAAAAAATCTCATGCTGTGTGGCTTGCTCAAAGTATCAAAAAATATTGAAAAGGAATAGCTGTCTTTTCTATTCAGATACAAAAAAAATTGCCAAATGTTAAAGCTAGGGGAAAGAAGAATTTCAGAACCGAGTCACCAATACTGTGAACATATCCTAAAAAATAATGGGCACATCCAGGCCCCTAAAAAGCCATAAGCACCCAGCTCAGGGCTTCAGTGACAGCTGCCTCAGGCACTGTGGAAGCTCAAGTCCCACAGGTTTCAGCCATGCCAGAGTTCCTTCACTGCAGCTTCCCTCCGAAACACCCTCGGTTCCATCAGCATCACTCCAGCTCCACCGCTGGCTGCTGTGGACATGTGCCACCAGCTCTGGTTTCCACCAACCAGGGGATGGGTTCTCTTCTTTCCAGTAGCCTGGCTCCAGTGTGTTGCCAGCCTGTGTCCACTGATCAGCTGTTACGGTGCTGCACATTAATGCAGCTCCTGGAGGAGCAGCAAAGAGAGGATCTTCTTGTAAAACAGAGGCAGTGGGGGGAAAATGGGCCTGTCTGAAGTTTGTTGCCTCACACCCACATACAACACCCTGCTACATCAAACAAGCCAACCTGGGACCTGAGCTTCTGTCTACAGAGGACAGAGTGCTAAAACCAAAAGTTTCACCTGCTTTTCAGCCAGCCTTAACTTTGATTATATAATGCCCCTTTTCCCATCTCTTTGGCTATACAAGCAGCTCTGACCATGCAGAGGTCAATTTCTCATTTGTTTAGTTCTAAGTCCCAGGAGATCCTTCAGGTGTTTGAAGAAATTCAGATAGTGATAAGACAGGCACACTTACAACCTTCAGTTTTGGCAGATAAACAGAGCAGCTAAGCCTTACAATTAAAGTCCTAAATTCCATAGGAAATATTGCTTTTCTAACACATGAACACTGAACACATCTTTAGCACATCAGAATTTGATCTTTTCTGTCCAAGTGTATTGCCTAAACTTAAAAAATGTTTAATGAGAAGAAATCAAGTTCCACCTTGGGTTAGTCCACCAGCCCATTTGCTCCAACACCTTTTTCCATGAAGACCCAGAAGGTATTAACTCAGAGAAAAAAAACAACCCAAGAAGAGTATACACATGTGACTGTTCTGCACTGTTACAGAGCAGGAAAGGGAATAGGAGAAATTCCTTCCTGACCCTACTAAGCCATCACCCCCCTGTCAGTTACCATTTTCACCTTAGCTTGCATAGTGTGAGTCTTAGTGGACACTGAGTTAACCTAAAAATAAAATAAATAATCCAGGGGAAAAAAAAAAAAGAAAAAACAAAACACCAACCCAGCAGCATTCAACTTTGTGACCTTCTGTGAATTCCAGCAGTGTCAACTGGCCAGGAGGAATAACATCTCTTCTGCTTACTTCTTATTGATTCTACTATCTTTCATAAAATAGTCCTATATTGTTGCAAAAAGAGGTGGAACTAAAAAGAACAGATCATCTGTGGCAGGAGACTATCATTAATCACAAATACACAACAGTCACATCCTGTTTAAACAGTTATCCAAGCTGTTATTGATGCCATCTAAACATGGGAGAAAAACCTCCACCTACTATTGCTAAGATTCGTTTCCATTTATGGAATTTTTAACATAATTTGTTGTCATTTTCACTGTATTCGCTGCTTCTTCTTTGAGGTCTTTGTGGTCATTTTTAAAATGAATACTCCTGATGAGAAAATTACCAGTAATTCTGCCAATCTCCACGTTTGTTGTTGGCTTTTTATCTCTCTTCAGATGACATTGGAGGTTGAGATTTGTCACCAAATAGTAACATTTTAGATGAAATGCAGAACCCTGTAACATCTAAAATACTACAACTCCAGAAAGATAACAAGCAGACCCAGCAACCAGATCAGCACAGGCAGCTCCCTGTAGAGTTTCAATGGGC